CTCCCCCTCTCCCATGTCCCCCCGGAACTGTCAGTCCCGTTGTTTTCTCCTCCAGATTGTTCATCCAGCCTGTCCTATCCAGACAGGCCTGTTCTTGTCATTCTTGTTTCACTCTTGTTACCGTCTTTTAAGTGCATTTTAGTTTGTTAATGTTCCTCACGTTGCTTCCTGGAATGGAAATGATGTACTTTGAAACCCTAGGCTGAGAGAATCACCCCACAGTACTGTGGAGTCTTCCAGTTCACAGAGACTCGGCAGAGGGTTTTCAAGACTGCGCCCTATCGGACAGCCTCTTCTTTCTCCCTCAGAGCAGCTAGTGGGCGTGAGCCACCAACCCTGAGGTGAGCAGTCCAATGCTTACCCGATAGTGTTACCCGAACAGCAGAATATCAGACATACTCGGAGGAGCCTGGGCTCCCTTCCCCCATTGTTTTACTCTTTTCTCTTTCTGACACCCCCCACACATCCGAATCATCGATCAAACAGCCCATTTGTTCAACATGTGCCGCCGTTCATTCTAAGGTGCTCTGATGGCACAAGAGTCCAGGCTTAGCGCCGTGCCAAAAAGTGGCGACTCAAACCCACCAGCAAGCACTGAGAGGAAGCCCTGGGGACCCGCTTCTAGAAGGTGGTAGGTAGCCCAGCGACCCCCGAAAAGCAGTTCTACTCTGTCCCCTGGAGTGAGTCACCGTGAGGCAGAGTGGACTCCACGGCCCCCACCAACAATGTTCTTCCTGTCCTGTCACCGAGATCTCAGTAGAAATGGAAAAATACTCATTAGAAGAATGGGCTGTCATTAAGCAGTCATTAGGCCCTCTCTACCTCTCGTCGACTCTCCGGAGCAGTGGAGCGGACTGTGGGCAGGATGGTCAGCCGGGAGGGCCTTCACCAGGCCCCCTGGTCTTCCTTCCCCGAGCTGTTACTACTTGACTGCCCTGCTCTCTCTCAGCACCTATAAGGTTGTTGTAAGAAACTGCAGCAATCTCACCACAACTTGGTTTATCTATTTTTGTTTGTTTAAAAAAAAATTTAATAAGGTGAAATTTGTGTAGCATCAAATTAATCATTTAAAGCAGCCAGTTGAGTGGCGTTGACTACATTCACAGTGCTGTGCAACCAGCAACCCTGTTTATGGGGGGGCTTCAGAACATTTGTGGAAAAGTTAAGGTAAATAAATGGCAATGAGAATCTTCCTTCAGAAACTTTTGGAAACCCCCTCAGATTTCTAGAAACCTGATATCAATCCACACAAACACAGAAAGCCCAGAAGCAGTTCCACCTTCCTGAAATCCTGGCAACCATGATTCTGGGTTCTGTCTCTCTGGACTTAGCTGTCTGTCCTGGAGTTGCTGTGACCGCTGAACGGCATTGGGTTTGAATTGTTCAGATCCACTGATATCATTTCCACGTGAGCAGGTCATCCCCCTCGGCAACAACACAGTGCAGAGCAAAGCGGAATCTCTGAGGTTCTCGCTCTTTTCCACCGTGTTTAGTGCCACAGCTCACACCGTGAACAACATCGCGGGACCCCTGGGAAGTGCCACTGGCGATGCTAGAGGCGCTCCCAAGAAAAATCCTCATGACGCGGGAAAAGGTGAATTGCTTGCTCTAGACCAGAGAATCCGATCAGAGGCTTCAGTAGCCCAGTGTTTTCCTGCTCGATGATCTACCACAAGGACCATGGTGAAAAAGAACCTGAAACGGGCATTGTCACTGCAGCTACACCACCAGGCATGACACCCTGGCTCTTCTTAGAAACAACCTTGGTATCTCACATGGAAAATGCAACCATAGAGGATAAACAAAAACCAAGCATACTGCCCTTGAGTGGATGCCGACTCTAGTGGCCCCTTGTGGGTTTCTGAGAGGATGACTGGCCAGTAGAAAGCCCAGTCTTTGTTAGGGAGCGGCTAGTGGGTTCAAACTGCCAACCACGTGGATCGCAGCACAACCTCTGAGGCCCTGCTTTTAAGTCCTTGGGGTATATAAGTGCCTACCAGTGACGTTAATAAGTTGTATGATAGAACGGAGCAGCGGTCATGCTGTGTTCCACAGCAACAACTCACTGCCATCGATTTACTTCTGACTCATGGCAACCTTGTAGGGTAGGGTAAAACTGCCCTCTTTGGGTTTCTAAGGCCATAAACCTTTACAGAAAGCCTCCCGGATTGGCTGGTGAGTGTGAGAAGAACTACTCAGTCCAACTTGCCCCCAATTACTAAAAACCCTTTTCACTATGGCCCACCATCCAGGTTTAGCTCCCCCGGGATCTGTCTAGCACCCCATAGGGCATTATCTCCCACTTAGAGCGCTATGAATATTCTTGTCAGTACCACACTATTGACTATTAAAGCTTTGTCGAAAGTTTTGAAATTGGGAAGTTACTTCATTTTTCAGTACTGTGGACCAGCCTTTTCAGTGCCTTCCATTTTGGTGGAGAGAGCATTGGGTCTGCATGTTACTTTGGCAGTCCTGGCCTCTTCATAGAGTGAGTCTTCCAGTCCATGAACCTGGGTTTTCCTCAGTCATTAAGGTCTTTCATGTTTCTTTCACTAGCACTTTACAGTTTCCCTGTACAAGTTCCAGTGTCATTGTCGCACAATTCACATAGCACACAATTCAGTGGTTCAGTCACATCAAGAAGAGCTGTACAGTCATCACCACGATCCGTCTGAGGACATTTTCTTCAGTCTTTTACTTGTCAGTATTAGCTCCCTATTTCCCCCCAATTTCCCCTACCCTTCCCACAGGAATCATTCATCTAGTTGTCTCTGTAGATTTACGTATCCTGATTCCATTTACAGGAAAACATTAAAACAAGAAACTAACAATGACAAAGGGGAAAAAGATAAAAACATCAATCAAAAAGAAAATAGGAAATACTTAAAAATAGAACACACTTAAAATGAATCAAAAAGACAAAGCGGGTGAATAAGCAAATGTGGTGAAGAAAGCTGATGGTGCCCGGCTATCAAAAGATATAGCATCTGGGGTCT